GCTACCCTACAAGACCAATCCATGGAAAGAAAAACGTAAGAGAGACAAATAGCTTGTTACGGCCAGGAGAGCAATGTCTTTTGCTCACGGTAAAGGATAAGGAGTGCACCGGCTGCCACAAAAGATAATGGGGTATTGGTAAGGGATAAGGGGAGCACAGCCGTGCACCGGCTGTCACAGAAGAAAATCGATATTGCAAGAGCACGCACGGATACGTATGAGGGCCTACCGTAAACGTCGGAGAGATGACACCCCCGTATCATGGCGTATTTCTCCACAAGCAGGGGGGTACCAGTGCCGAAAAGGGAGAGGGTGGTTTCGGAAACATCCCCTCGACGGCTTTCCTGAGAGGTATCATCGGTTGGTGATCGTACCCTCCTAGTTGTGGGGAAATACGCTAGAAGAAAACGCTAAATAGCACGGGGGTGCCATCTCTCCGACTCTTACTTGTCGCGGCCATGAGAAACTCATCGTCCAAGAGTCATGAGATCACCCGAATATAGGATAACTGTGTCAACTTGCCGAGCCCTACATCGGCAAGCCCCACGTTGATCCAAGTTTGGGAAAATCTTACACCCGGAAAGAAGTAACGCGACCGGAAATAGCCGCGTGAAGAAATATATGGTACAAGAGGTCACATTGGACGGAACCAACAACGTTATAGCGAACAGACAGTATGGTGTAGTGTAGAAAAATACAACAACAAAAAAAGCACCGCATGTTGGCTAACCACCGAAACAAAACGCGCGACCGGAAATCGTTGGGGGCTCCATCGCATAAATTAACAATTATAGGTCAAAAAGATGGGGGGGAAAGGCAGTAGCCTTCGCAGTCTTCGCAGTTTTTTTCGATTAAGTGAACGTGTTGGATAAAGTATACAATCGGGGAAGTTGGGTCAGGATTGGGGTTGTAGAGAATAGACCCCTCCCTGGTCTATTTTCTCACAAACATATTGATCGCGCGAAGGCGGTCCAATAAAGGCATGCACTACAATGGTAGGCCGCATCATTTGAAACAAAACGCAAAAAAAGAAGGCGCGGAACAATATCACAGAAAAGCCGGGCGTTACCTTGAATCGGACGACGGGTGTCAGGTCCGGTTTGGCGAGGCTGCTCAGGAGCACCATCCTGCGGCACCGAACGAAGCACGCGGATATCATCGAGGAGTTGTTGTTGTTGTTGTTGTTGCTGCTGCTGCTGTTGTCTGTAAATATCAAAAATCGTTTCGGTCTCCACTCAGTTTGTGTGTGTGGGTTCGTCCCATCAATCAATTCTGGCGCCGGTTTCCAATCCTTTCGGCGTATACACCTGATGTTGCCGGCCGGGGTCACACAAGAGGAAGGTCACACAGGAGCTTTTTGCATTTTATATATTTTTACTACCCCACCTTTATCCCCGGACCTTGTACTCCCGGTAGAATTATATAGGAGGGAGGGAGGGCCGGGCGATAGGACCAGGCTGCACAGGGGTAGGGGAGTAGTAGCATGACGAAAAGCACGACCGAGAAGCTGTCTCATACAAAAACTCTTCCTTCATGGCGAAATGCACTTGACGCGCTACTGTACATAGGTTATGCATAAGACACCACGTCCCCCTGGAACAATATTCAAGCTTCACTACTCCACGACGAAGAGGACGCTGAATCAAGTGACACGTTGTCGGAAAGCGCTCTCGAAGAGACGGTTCCCAACACCTCCCGCCATTTTTCGGCAACAGCTGCACTGCTTTCCCTGTCAAGTAATCGGGCTGCGAACATCGGGCCAGGGAGTGTGACATCTCATGCAACCTACGGTATGACAATCGCACCTGAAACACCGAGCAAGGAACACTGGTAATACGTAAGGGTGCTGTAGGTTGGGACCGCCTTCGCGCGATTATTATGTTTTTGATGGAAATAGAACAGGGAGGGGGCACACAGACTATATATTCCCTAACCCTAACCCAACTTCCCCGATTGAATACTGTATCCAAGATGTTTCCTTAATACAAAAATCCTGCGAGGGCTGCCGGTGGATTGCTGTAGGAGGGAGGGAGGGAGGGAGGGATGGAGGGTCGCGCAACATGACAAGGTTACACAGGTACGGTGTGTGTGTACTCATGCAACCACCATCCTTCATGGCGAGAACTCATTCACGGCGAGAACGACTTCACTCATAGGCACGCCCAGCTGAAACACCTCCAATGGCAAGGCCTAGAATCGGAGGAGCCGACTTGCATGCGATGACTGCAGACACGTACACGTACACATTTCGAGTGGGAAGCAGGCCTCGAATAGGAGGAGCCGACTTGCATGTGATGACGGTAGACACATACACGTAAACACCAACCTCGTCCTGACGGACTAGAGCCAGCCTTAACGCTGACACTCACCGATCGACCTTGGCCGGAAAGTCTAGAGCCAGCCGTTGAGCCACCATCCCGCCAAAGCTTTCCCCAACGATGCTAGCCCCCCCCGCGATCCCCGCCTATCTTTCCCGCGGAAATCCCCACGGAACAACATGGCGTGTATGCCGGGGTAAGCAGGTCAATCATAACTTTCCGGCGGAAATCCCACGGAAAAATTGGCCATGAGTGCCGGATTCGGGTGTCAACAAGCATGCTGTTATTGATCATCGTCGTCGCGGTGGAACCCCCACGAGACGATGACACGCGTACCGGATTGGGGGCTCA